TTCCTTCCTTCCTTCCTTCCTTCCTTCCTTCCTTCCCTCCTTCCTTCCTTCCTTCCTTCCTTTCCTTCATCCCTCCTTCCCTTCTTCCCTCCATCCTTCCATCCCTCCTTTCCCTCCATCCCTCCATCTTCCTCCATCCCTCCTCCTGCAGCAGGGAACGGGGTGGCCGGGGGCAGCAGCTCTGGCCCTGGTGCAGCCGCGGCCGACGCTCCCGTTCCCGCAGGGCCAGCCCTACCTGCGCACGGCGCACGGCATCACCCTCTGCTACTGGGACGGCACCGTCCACCACGGCCTCTACCTCGCCATGATCGCGGCCATGAGCCAGAGGTGAGGGCTGTGCGGCGGCCCCGGCGCGGGCACCGCGAGCCCCGCGTCACCCCTCTCTCTGCAGGAGGAACTACAGGAGCCTGGGGCTCTTCTGGCTGGGCTCCGTGATGATGAGCATCGTCGTCTTCCTCCTCGGCAACCTCATAGGTGCGGCCATGGGGGGTCCTGGGGCGCCCGCGGGCACCGGGGCTGCTCCGTGGCACTGAGTCCGGGCGCTACTCCCACAGGGAAGTACAGCTCGGACCTGAGCGCGTCCTTCCTGCTCAACGTGCCCTACGTGATCCTGCCCGTCTGGGCCGGGCTGCGGCTCTTCCAGCAGCCGCGGGCGCTGCCGGGTCTCACGGCCGACGAGGTGAGCGGGGACGTGGGACAGGGGACGTGGGGCTGGGTGTCCCCGCTCGGGCCGCCCCGGGCACGGGAGAGCGGCAGCGAATGTGGCTCTGTCCCCGGCCCAGGTCACGGAGGAGCAGCGCAAGGGGCTGCACCGGCGGCCGCAGGACGCGGCGCTGATCGTCCTGCTGCTCCTGGCCGCCGTGTTCACCTTCTTCAGAGGGATGGTGAGCGCCGGGGCTGGCTGTCCCTGGGGATGCTGCTGGGACGCTCGGGCACCCTGGGGTGCCGGTGTCCCCCCCATCATCACATCTGCCCGCCCAGGTGGTCCTGGACTGTCCCGCTGACTCCTGCTTCGAGTACATCTACCAGCGCGAGCCGTACCTGCGCGACCCCGTCGCATACCCCAAAGTGCAGGTGATGCTGGTGGCACAGGGGACCAGGGGCCCTGCAGAGCTCCATGGCAGAGGGGAAAGGGGACCAGGGACCCACAGACCCCCATGGTGCAGGGGACCCCATGGAGCCCCATGGAGAGGGAGCAGCTGGGATCATCCCTGGTCCCTGCAGCGGCCACAGGGGTTTGTCCCCAGGGTGGGCAGTGGGTGACACTGGGAGCTGTCCCGGCAGAGCCCCCTTTCCCAGGTGCAGGGTCTGTCCCAGCTCTGACCCAGGTGGCACCACCGTGAGCCGGTCCCTGTGTCCCCAGATGCTGATCTACCTCTTCTACGTGCTGCCCTTCTTCTGCCTCGGCATCTACGGGCTGCTCCGGCCCGGCTGCTCCTGGATGCCCGATTGGAGCCTGGTGGTGGCCGGTGCCATGGCCCAGGTGAGCGCTGCGGGCGCAGGGGACCAAGGGGACCTGGGCCAGTGGTGCCGAGCTGCCCACCCCTCTGGGAGGCGTTTCCATGGCGATGCCCGAGCCCGATAATTACTTTTTTTCCTCTGTGGATCATAATGGAGCCAGGGATGAGTGAGACAGAAATAGGCTGGAGGGAGCGGCCGCCATCCCGAG